ATATTTCTTCATGTGCTTGTTGGCCATCTGAATGTCTTCCTTGGTGAAGTGTCTGTTCATATCCTGTGCCCATTTTTCAATTGGATTATTCTCCTTGATCTTGTTGTGGTGCTCGAGCATTTTATAAATTCTAGATATAAGTCCCTTGTCTGACATATCATTAGTAAATGGAATTTTTAAATCAGTTTAATTAGGTGACCTAATGGTAAGAAGCTGTGCTGCAATTCTACAGACAGAGCCATGGTTCTAATCCATCAATTGCTCCACAGGAGAAAGATGGACAGTCTTCTCCTGTGCAACTTACTGCCTCTGAAAACCTGCTGGAGGGTCACCTATGAGTTGATTCTGTCTTGCCAGCACATAACTATAACAGTGTTGCTAGTATGTAGATATACAGTTGATTTTTTAATAGTACCTTTTTAATTTTTTTATAAAATTTGTGTTTTAAAGCACATTTAGTTTTTATGAAAAAAATTTGCGCAGAGTTCCAGATCTTCCTCCTGCCCTAGTTTTTTCATCTTGCATTCCAGTGGTATATATTTGTCAAAAGTTATGAACCTACATTGACATATTATTATTAGTTAAGTTTTGTAGGATTTGGAAGTCAGCCACCTGGTCAGCCAACCAGAAGAGATGCATTTTTTTAAAATTTTATTTTATGTTTTTCTATACTCCTGCCCACCCCCTCCCCAGTTCACTTTCCTCTTTGAAAAAAATTCTTTCATAGTTTTACAATTCCTCCACCTACCCACCATTCATTTTAATATTCAGCTCTTATTCTGGTCTGTTGTCATGCAAATAATGCCTAATTATATATTCATTTTAAGTAGTTTTTTTCCCTCATCTTTTTCAATGCAGTGTACATCATTTATCCCCTCTCTTCTTAGTTTTCTCCCAGCACCCATATCAGTCCTGTTTTATAACAGTGACATTATGCAATGTTTGACATTATGATATTTCACTTAGCTAATGTCCTCCAGGGTCACCCATTCTGTATAAAATTTCATGAGTTCCTTGTTTTTCAGTGCTGTATTCCGTTATGTGAATATACCACAGTTTCTCTATTTAAACTAATATCCTTGCTGTTTTGCACTCTAAGGAGACAACAGATTCTCCCAATGCAATATTTCTTTTGATTTTCTTGACTGCTCGTACCAAGGGTGTTGATTGTGCATCCAAGTCAGATGAAATCATTAACAATATCAATCTTTATCTTTTGTTTCCTGTTGGCCCAGGGGAAAATGATTTTGTTTCCTTAATGTGGAGGTGTAATCTTCATACTAAGTTTTGAAATCTTTAGGCTAGCAATACAACAGCTTTCCTAGTAGGGCATCAGAGTTCCTAACTTTTGAAATAAAATGCTAGCTTTACACTCATAGCACTCTCATTTATAGCTTCTAATCCCATTTCTAGTGCTTAGAGTGGTTTGTGTATTGGACAGTATAGTGTTTAGTCTTCAGTTCAAATAGCCATGCTATCAGATTTTATCTTTAATAAAAACCAAAATAATAACCTCAATTCATTCATGGTTTTATTTGACAGTAGAAAATTGAGTGTCTTTAGGGAGGGAGCCAAGAGTTACTTGCTGCCAGAAGGCAATAAAAGATTATTACCCTCACAAAGAAATGTTCAAAATCATTGTCATTAGGAGAGATGTAAATCAAAACTACTATGAGATACCTACCATCTTTCCTTAGTAGCAGTGGCAAAGTTTAATAGAACAGCAAGTAATAAATGTTAGAGGATATGGTGAGATAGGAACTCTTATATATTATTGGTGGGATTGTAAAATGGTATAGCCCTTCTGGAAGGCAGTTTGGCATTTCTTCAAGGTGAACATAGAAATTCCATATGACCCAGCTATTCCACTGCTTGCAGTGTACCCTGAGAAAATGAGAACTTGAGGCACAAATGGAGATTTGTACACAAATTTTAATAGCAGCATTATTCACCATTGCAAGAACATGGAAACAGCCCAGATATCCAACCACAATCAAATGGATTGAGGAATTATGGTATATTCACACAATGGAATACTAAGCAGCATGCAGGAACAATGATTTTGTAAATCACTACCTAACTTGGGAGGGACTGAAGAGCATTATGCATAGTGAACTAATTCAGTGTCATAAGGACAAATACTGTATAAGACCATTACTGTAGAATATGGTATCCAAGATGGGAGGATAGGAGTAGAGGGGTGAGGATGGGTGATGAGGGGTGTTTAATCATAGGGTCACACAGTTTGATGGGTGGAAGACGGGGAGGTTTAAGGAAATGGGAAGGATCCTGTGTGAAAAACAATGTATACAAACTTTGTAAGCAAACCAGTATAAAAGAAAAATTTTATTTAAATTTTAAAAAAAGAAACTACACAGTGGTTAAAAAAAAAGATAAAATGATCCTATGCGGTGATGAGCTGGTGAATACGGACAGCCTAGTTTGAATGGGAAGGGGTAATGTAGGTTTGCTCATTCCCTTGGTGTGAAGTATTTTGCCTTAACTGATTTCCTGTCTTCACTGAATGAGGCGTTGAGAAGAGATGCATGTGCATTGTAGCGTGAACATGATTGTCTCTCACCAGGCAGATACAATGGACCATGAATGTAAAATGATTAGGAAATCATGAATTGTGATTATATCTTTGTTTTTAATATGATCTGTGTCACTTTAAAAGTTCAGGTAAGGAATTTCTGGGTAGTACAAACAGATAAGCATTTTGGATAAGCTGAAAGATTTACAGTTTGAACTCGCCCTGAGGCACCTTTGAAGACAGGCCTAGTGATCTGCTTTAAAACATCACAGCCCACCACCACAAGATAAAGTGGGAAGGGATAATGTAGGTTTGCTCATTCCCTTGCAAGGTAGAAAATCCAATTGAAAAATGGGCACAGGGTATGAACAAACACTTCACCAAAGAAAACATTCAGATGGCAAACACACACATGAACAAATACTGCATGGTGCCACTGTTGTAAAACAGGACTGACATTGGGGTTGGGGGGAGACTGAGAAAGATGGGATAAATAATGTATACTGCGTTGAAACAGATGAGGGAGAGAACTGTTTAAAATGGATATGTGATTAGGTATCATTGTCATGACAGGAGTCCAGAACGAAGGCTGCATAGTGGAGTGGACCTGGGGGAGGGATTGTAAAACAATGAAAGAATTTGTCTTTTACTTTTCCAAGAGGGTAGTGTACTGGGGGGGAGGGTTGGGAGGAGAGGAAAGTGCAACAATGAATGAATGGAAATCCAAAGTCTCTGTAAATTTTCATTGAAATTAATAATAATTTTTTTTCAAAAACCAAGGAACTCATGAAATATGCAAAATGGGTGACCTTGAAGGACATTATAGTGAGTGAAATATTTCACTCACAAAAGGACAAATACTGCATAGTGCCACTGTTCTAAAACAGGACTGACATCGGGTTGGGGGGAGATTGAGAAAGATGGGATAAATTATGTATACTATATTGAAATACATGAAGGAGAGAACTTTAAAGGGATATATGATTAGGTATTTTTGTCATGACAGGAGTCCAGAACGAATGCTGCATAGTGGAGTGGACTTGGGGAGGCGGGTATTGTATAATAATGAAAGAATTTTTCTTTGACTTTTCAAAGAGAAGAACAAACTGGAGAAGGGAGAGATGGGCAGGGAGAAAAGTGCAACAATGATTGAATGGAAATTTTTTATAAAAAAATCACAGCCATGAAAACACTGTGGAGCAGATCTGCTCTGCACACATGAGGCACGTTGAGTCTGAGTTGACTCAATATTAGCTGTTAACAGCAGTCAAAAAACCCTCATTGCTGATAAATGAGAACCAAATTGGTGGTGGATTTGAACCAGCAGAGAGGTGCTGCCTTTGAAAGTTTAGCAGTATAGTTCCTTACAGACTAGGCACCAGAGCTCCCTACATCTAACAGCAGCAGCTTTCAGTAAGTTACTTTTTTTTTTTAAATCCAGTTTTAGTTTTTTGGTTTTTTTAAATTTTTTCCCTCTTTGTACTATTGAATTAGATCCCACTGGCACAGGAGGAGATTGCCCTCCTTCTCTAGTGGAGCATCTGGTGGATTTGAACCGTGTACCTTCAGTGTGCAGTGCAGCTTCTTGCCCTTAGGCCATCAGAGCTCCAATAAGTTACTTTTTAATGTGGCTATGTTTCATAGGGGACTTTTAAAACTCCTGATAATGTAATAATCAGCTCTTCCAGGTGATCTTGAATAGTGTTTTCCATTGCTGAGGACCTGCCTGCGTGTACTTCCTACTCCTGCTTTTGCTGACTCTTCCCTTACTCTCAGGCAAAGGTGCAGGAGCGGAAGCAGAGGACAGTGTCTGAGTTTGAGAAGTTCCGGCAGTTGCTGGCTGAGGAGGAGCTGCGGGTCCTGCAGGAGCTGGATGAGGAAGAGGCAGAGATGATGCAGGTGCTGGGGAAGGAGGAGTGCAACCTGGCCAAGCAGAGCCGCACTGTGGAGGAGCTCATCACGGAACTGGAGGCACTCCGCCAGCGCCCAGCCTTGGGGATGCTCCAGGTGACCCTTCTGTCCTGGTCTGGGGTTAGAGAATAGAAAGTAGGGAGGGTTGGAAGAGAAAGGAGAGACGTAGGAAGGCCTGATCTGCAACTCTGGGCAGGTAGCATCTCTGTGCTTCTGGTCTTCATACGTCCGTTCTTAGGTGGGCATAAGAAGAAATATGGGAGAAGGGCTTCCCTGTGGACTAAGAAAGGAGATGCTGTGATCTGTTGTTTTATGGCTATATCCTCCTGTGTCCCCAGAACCCGCCCAGGCTCCCCCTCAGGCGTGTGTGGGTCTGTGTGTTCCAGGCAGAAGCCGCTCTATGTCCCCAGCCCTGTCCTGGCAGCTACGCCCCACTCTGCAGACCCTTGAGTGGAGAACTCTTACCTGAACTTTGTGCAATGGAACAAAATTATAAAAGATGAGTTTGCTATTTTCCCAGCATTTCACATGATTGAAACTTTATTATTGGTGATTCCATACAATTTTCTAACCTATTTCTAGGGGTGGGGGGGGAATGGGTTTTTTTCTAAAATCCTTTTTCTTAAAATAACCTTAGGAGTTGTTGTTTTGTTTTTTTATATTGTGTTTGTGGGGATTTTTCCCCTCAAAAAACCCAAGGGTTTTTGCATCCTTAAGAACATTAAAGTTATTAAAAAAAGAAAACTTTTTGTTGTCTGGATGGTGCACTAATGGTTAAGTGCCCAACTAGTAACCAAATAGTACCTCAGAAGAAAGGCCTGGTGATCTGTTTCCGAATGACCACACCCCTGAGAATCCCGTGGAGCATTTCTGCTCTGCACATGTGAAATCACTGTGAGTTGACTCCATGGCAGCTCACAACCACAGCCCTTCACGGCACAGTCTGAGGAAGGCTTTTGTGAATCATATGCACATAGACATTAGCTAAAGCTGTGGGCTTGGACAAGATTGCAGAAGGAGAGAGGTTGAGTTGAGAATGGTCACCCTGTTAGTTCTGAGTAAGAGGTCCTTCGCTGGGGCTCAGGAGAATCCAGGAGAAGCCTGAGGAAAAACCAGCAGCCTTTGAGGAAAAGTGTTGTTAGAGTTGGGGAAGAGTCCCAGGCATCACTGAATGGTCCAGAAGGATAAAGACTGAAAGTCATCACTCCTTTTACAACTTGGAGACCGTCAGTGACCACGACAAGAGCTGCTCTGGTTGCAAGAGCAAGATTAGAGAATTAGAATAGGTTAGGTATGAGCGTGTGATAGAAGGAATAGGAAAGTGTATTATTGATGCAAGATGTCTGACTTGGAAATGGAGCAAAGAAATCAGCAGGGGCATTGAGTGGAAGATCGACCTGCAGTGGGAGATTGTTGGAGCACAGAGGAGAAGCTACCTGTGCTTTTAAGGGCTTCTAAGAATGGTGGTGGTAGAATTCACTCTAACTCAGAGCTTTTTCTTCTCTCTGCAGGGTCTAGGAGGGATTCTGAACAGGTATGTTGCCCGTGGGAGACAAACAGTCTTCTTCATAAACTAGGTAGCCCTTTGTCTTGCTGCGCAGAAGATTAACAGACCATATGCATCTTTAGGGTTAAACATCTGGAGCTTCAGACCCCAAAAGCTGTTCCCATGGAGCTAAAGACTGTGTGCAAAGTTCCAGGACTATTGGACACACTTCGGAAATTCCAGGGTAAGGAAAACATGGGTATTTTAAGGGTCCCTCGGTGGCAAAAATTGTTCAGCCATAATCTATTAAGTGAAAGGTTTGTAGTTTGAATCCACCCAAGGCAACTAGGAAGAGTGGTCACAGCCTTGCAGACCCTTCAGAGTAGTTTATTCTGCAAAGTCTCTCGTTTGAGCCAGCTTGATGACAGCCAACAAGGAGTGGGTATTTAGAGACACGAGAGTTTTTAAATGCTGTGATTCCAGGGCCAGCTTGCTAGGTGTCTCTGCACTGGGACATTTCCCAAAGATCCCAGCTTGACCTCAAAGGGAGGTCTTCTTCCAAGGTCCAGGATCCGGGAATTCTGTCCTTCCTCCTTTTGTTTTCCTCCTGTTGTCCCTCATTTCATTCTGCTGCTTTCTCCATCCAACTTTGGCAAGACCTCACCTATATCAGGGAGTTTCCTAAAGCAGAGATGATGGAAGCACTTGAAATTAGAAAGAGGAGGGCATAGTATTCATGGCTAGCTTTCATTCCTTATGTAACTGTTAAGCACACTGTTACAATTCTTTCATTGTATTGTTATCAAGTCCAGCATTGCATGGAGTGGTAGGCAGTATTGGTACCACTGTGGCTAGTGGATGGCATAGACGGTGAACATGTTCATGGGTAGTGTTTTGTGTGTGCTCTGAGGAAACATGTCACATTGTTTTATAAGAGACCACTCATGACGTGGGAGAGACCTTGCTGTAGTGCTGATGCTGGGGCTGACATTGTTCCTGTCCCCCTGGCCCTTGGAAGTGTCTCCTGTAAACAATATGGTGGCCATCTTGCTGTCCTAGCCCAGTGACACCCTGCTCTTTTCTTTTCCATACCTTTTGTTTTGTCTCTCAGCCCAGGATCTTACTATTGTACTTTCTTCTAAGGTTCCTCTGTTTTCAGGGATGGCTGTCTCCTGCCAGCATTCCTGTCCCCATCACTCTTAGTCCCAGCCCTCACTCTCTACAGTTTTCTCCCTCCTGTTTCCCTCTCTGTAATGGAAAGCTCTCCTTCCCGTCCTAACTGCCCTTTCCCACAGCCAACTCCACAATCCCGTCCCCATCTTGTCCTTACAGTCTACTTCCAGCACTGCTTGCCAGCAGGTCCTCCTGGCTGCCGTGGCCTCTGTGTGCCTTCTCTTCCCAGAACCAGTGGCGGTAGCACCACAGTATGTCTGCTCTGTGGGACTTAGAAGTCTAAAGTTAATGGTCAGCTGGCATCTTCTCCAAGATGACCACCTTCAAAAGGCCAAGATACAAGGATAACATTCTAGGTGGCACGATGAGCCTATAGCAGGGGCAGTGAGAACCGTTAGGGGGAAAACCCTCCCACAGGAAGCATAATTAAAGCCCCACACTTACTGCACACTCACTGTGCTGACCATTGTGCCAACCCTTCCTGTGTGTGTTCTGCAGTGGTGGTGACCCTGGACCCCGACAGTGCGCACCCGTTCCTCACGCTGTCCGAGGACCGGAGGGCTGTGTCACAGAGGCGGCCCTGGCATGGCCAGCTTGGTCTGTTTGGGAGCTTCCCAAGTGTGGTGGGCTGCGAGCGCCTGACTGCTGGCAGATACTACTGGGAAGTGGAGTTGAGAGACGGAGGAAGTTGGCACCTTGGCGTGTGTAAAGAGGATGTCGACAGGATGGACTCCTCCCCCTGGACCGCTGACCGTGGGTTTTGGAGCAAGGGAGACCTTATTCCTGCAGGTGCCTTCAACCCCCAGAAGAATCCCCACCCTCGAGTTGGGGTTTTCCTAGACTATGAGGGAGGGGAGATTTCTTTCTACAGTGTGAACGAGGAATCCCACATCTACACCTTTCCACAGGCGTACTTTTCTGGGCCCCTGCGGCCCATCTTCATCACACCATCCTGGTGTCAGACCTCCCTGATTGTTTGTCCAAAGCAAGAGACTGGTGCCAAGGATGCCGCCTCTGGTGGAGAGAAGCCCTTGGAGTCATCTCCAAGGGGTTCTTCAAAGCCTTCTCTGTTTGTGTTTGGAGATGCTCCTGCCTAAAATCCCAGTCTGCTTCCACAGCTGGACCTCTGAGCTCAGAGCAGCCTGAGAAGGAAGAGGCACATGCTGGGAGAAGCAGGTAGGGCCTCTGGACCAGCTGCATCTCCCCATGCAGTGGTTTGTTAATCCTCCACAGCTTTTCACTCCAGATAATCCCATTTCTTCTTTTTTCTGTTACTTTTGTCAGGGAAGTCCAATTATGGACTTGGCTTACTTGTATGTATGAACCTGCCCAATTGTGGGTATTGTTGGGTGGCCAGAACCTACCCGATTATGGGTATTGTTGGATGGCCAGTGTGGGTGGGCTTGACAGGCCAGTGATGAGTCCTGATGTCACTTTAACACCCTCAATATTAGCAGAGTTTCAGTGAGGAGAAAAGAATGGCAAGTAGGTGCCACACGATAAGAGCAGTCAGTGCCCTGCTGGAAGGCTGCAAGAGAAAGATAGAAAATACAGGACTTTTCAGAGGAAGAAGACCAGAGGAGTGAAAAGTGCCTGTAAACCTGGGCCTTTAACCAGAAGTAGAGAGGGGTTTGGATGAGAGTGTGTGACTTGTTAACTGTCTTTGATACTGAGAGGACTAAACTGCTCCAGTCCTGGGCTGGAGCTCCTCACCTGTCAGTGATGGTGGAGCATTGTGCAGCCCGGGCTTGTAGATGATGTGAGGAATGGAGTGAGGCTTGTCAGACACAATGTTCCTTTTTCTAACAAAGGTTTAAAGTTCCTGTTACTATAAAGAATGAAAATCATAGATAACAAACCCCTCCTGCAAACATAATTTTAAAACACACTGTGATCCCTGCCTGCAGCATAAAGATGGCATCTCAAGGAAGAATGCTATGACAGGGCAGTACGTTCTGTTACGTGTGCTTGGCGTAGCTATGCCAAGGTAGGAATGGGAAGCAAACTGTTGTCTGAGAATAATTGAATCACAACTGTGGCCTGGGTGCATGTGAATTGTAGCCATAGCACTGGCCAAGGATGGAGGCACCAAGGATGAAAATGCCACAAGCAGTTCTCTCTTCCCGTATGGCCTTTTCTGAATAATTTTTGGTGACATTCCAAATTAAACAGAACAGTTTAACTCCAATTAAACAGTGCATTCACTCTCACTTGTAGATATGCTTAAGTTCCAAAAGTAGATCATTATGCAGAATTGGCATTGTGAAAAAATGGAGAATGATGATATCAGATTAAAAAAAGGAAGATGATTACATCATTATTTAATGGTCAGATTTCATCATTACCTAACTGCCAAGCCTCTAAGAATCATGGCCCAGCCAAGCTGACTCATAACCTTAACTATCATAGCCAACACAACTCTCAGCAGGGGCACCTTGGCTTTGTTACTGCCAGATGTACATCAGTGTACAAAAGTCAGGTAGTGGATTTTTACTGTTGTGGATATGAAATGTTGGATAGTGAGACAGTTGATATGGAAGAAAAGGTGTAATTGCATTCCTCTAAAGCCACATAGACTAAAAATTTAAAAAAAAAAAATTTTAAAAAGCCACATAGACCAGAAAAAAAAAAGTCATTTCTATATAAACCACTGAGGCTTACTTAGATCCTCTATAAAAAAGTTCTGACCTAAATGGATGTCAGGAGCAAGTCTGTGTGGAGCTAACCACCCTCTTTTAGGACTCCTTGGTAACTGTGATGACCACATAAACCTCATGAGTTCTCACAGCTGCCTCAACTGAAAACCCCAGGGTTGAAATAGCACCTAAGAATGCTCTCAGGTTTGAATGTATTTTAAAATACAGGAAACACCTCAGGTAGGAAGAGGGAACCTCATAATTAGAGGAGATTTTAGAGGGAACCATATCTTCCTCTCTGTGCAGTAAAAGATTAAAATTGCCCAAAGAAAACTATGGCCTTTTGCCCCTGGCTCCCAGCACGTAACCTTTAAACACTTGGACTACTTTGCCTTTTAAGTGTCTTTATTTAGCTGGAGACCTTGGACGTGCTAGATTGTCTGTGCCAACAGTGTGATTTATGGTGGGAGGCTTCATCCACACAGTATCACTTGACTTGTGGAATAACCATGTTGAGTATCTAAACCAGTAAAAATCTCTGGGTACCAAGCTTTGAGTGAGCTTCCGCTGTTGGCATTATTTCTTATATGTTGACACATAACATTGTTGAGAGAAGTTAAGTGCTGTCTGTAAATCACCAGGAAGGTGGGAGAGGACACCAGGAAGCTCACACAAGAACTCTTCTGAGCTGTGCTCTATGCTTTTACCTGTGCTGATTTCAGTCTGTGTCCTTTCGCTGTAATAAACTGTAACTATGAATATAATGCTTTGCTGAGTTCTGTGTCTTTCTAGTGAATCACTGGTGATCCTGAGGGTGATCTCAGGGATGCTCAACTTTGTTCTCTTTTCCATGGCCTCTGCTCAGACGGAGCTCTGACCTCAGGAAGTAGCACATTCTATTTTAAAACACCTCTCAGGTAAAAACACAGGGTCATGCTGGGCAAGGTCCAGTGGTGATTAGTTTTATAAAATATGAGAATGATTGTATGAAACACAATATGAATGAAGAATAGTGTGAAACACAGTGTATATGAACTTTGAAAGCAAACCAATTAAAAAAAATTTTTTTAAAAAAACAAAGTTCTCAAACAAACAATTCTTAGAAAGATTTTTCTCATTCTAACATGAAGTCACTTCCATTTGGAATGCGGATTCCTTTCCTGGAAGTTACTATTTTTTTGAGTCTTGCGTTCCAATTCACCCATCTTTTTTGGGATCCTTCTGGTCCTGTGTGCTCCTGGGAAGGGAGACAGTGGCTCAGAACCTTCCATCATTTATAAAGTCAGGTATCTGCTCTTGGAAAATGAAAGCTTTGTGCAACATATTAAACCTGTAAAATTATAGGAGTTGGACTACTAATTTGTGAGAGTGCCGAGTCATAAGGATTTGAACTACTAATTTGTAAAGGGAAATGAATTATTTTTATTTTTTTACTTTTACAAAGTCAGCTTTTAAAATTCTTATTTTGATTCTAGCTCTGTTAGGGGAAATTATTTTTAAGTGCCAGTTTTTCTTCTAAAAACTATCCCTTTTAGTCATAATTTATCATTTTCACTAACTCAAAAAAGTAGCTGACACCTTCCATGCTTATGTGTTTTGAACTCAGAGTCAAGTGACCTAATTCGGGTTATGAATATACATAAAGGAGTCTGATGTATTGAATGGATGCCACCCCAAAAATATATGTTAGACTCCCAATATCAACACTTAGATATAATCATTTGAGAATAGTGTTTTTGTAGGAATGAGGCCATATCAGTTTGATGTGTGTGTAAACCTAATGACTGCTGACATCTACAAGCCAGATTAGGTATACAGATAGGCAAGCACAAATTGAAGAAAGACTGATGTCATTTGGAGAGTGCCAAGCAACTGAGAAAAAGCTGAAAGAAACAACAGTTCTCCCCATAGCCCAGGCAGAACTTGAGTTGTCATGTTGGAGAGGTGCACTACATATCCCAGGGACTGCAAGAGAAAAAACAAGTTTTGGAGAAAGTTAAACAACGGTGCTTCTTGGAGGTGAGTGTGGCAAAACTTTGTCTTAAATACTTTTGGTTTGTGATTAGGAGGGAACAGTCCTTGGAAAAAGACATGGTTGGAAAGGTGGGGGTTGAGTGAAAGAGAAGACCCTCAATAAGATGGATTGACACAGTAACTGTAACAGTGGGGTCAAATGTATCAGAAGTGGTGAGGAAGGCACAGGATATGGCAAGGTTCACATCTCTTGTTTATAGGGTCACTGTGAGCTGAATTCTCGATGGCACCTAACAACAACAAAAAAATCAGAAGAGGAGAACTCTGGTAGCATGGTCTCTAGGAAGTTGTGCTGATAACCCACCAGCAGCTGTAAGGGAAAAATATGGGAAGTATAGCCCTGCTGTACAAGTTGCCGTACAGCGGTCACTTGTGGTTGCTGTGAGGCAGAACACTGTGACACTGATGTGTCAAATGCATTAATGGTTGGCTACCCAATGCGGACAGAGTGGAGTGGAGATCCCCGATTAAAACAAGCTTGGAAGGAGGAGTGGCATCCACTTCCATAATAGCTTGCCTCCGGAAACCCTATGAACCTGGAGAGAGAATGAAAGGCACCCAAGCGTCGAGGACTCTCCTTCATAAGGTCGCTATGAGTCGCCTGCGACTCGACGACACTTAACAACAATAACATGTTCCTTTGCATTATACAGCCTCAAAAACACTGGAGGGTCAGCAACGGGACAGTAGTGAAAGTTTGAGTGCCAGAACAGAATCTGGCACTATTAAATAATAAAAATTGCATCATCCAAAAAGATGTTGTAAATACTAACATCTGAATTTGAGGCAAGTTGTTAGAAGCCAGTCCTTGGGGGAAAAAATTTATCATGCTTGGACAGATGGAGTGTCAAAGACAGGAAGACTCTCAATAAGATGACTTTGTTACACACAGTAACTAACAGTGGGTTCAAGCATGTCAGGAATGTTGAGGATGGCACAAGAAAGAGCAGGGTTCATTGTTCATAGGGTTTCTGTGAGTGGTTGTCAATTCGATGGCCCTAACAACAACAAAGGTGACATAGTTTTAAGTGGGTTATGCTGCTAACCTACAGGTGGCTGGTTCAAATACACTAGCAGCTCCATGGGAGAAAAATGAGCAGTCTCCTTGTGCAATTTATAGTTTCTGAAACTGCTGGAGGGTCAGCTATGAGTCAGCTCCAACTGGACAGTTTTAAATTAACACTTGTGGAAATAGTCCCATTTGGCATAGACCTCTATTAATGAAAAAACCATGGCTTGAATCGAGTACACCTTAGTCTTCAAACTGGCTTCAATGCTCCTTAGTAATTTGGGAAGGTCTCCAACAGCAGATTTGCCCAATGCTCTTGATCTCCTGACTGCTGGTTTAAAGGGTGTTGGTTGTGAACCCAAGTAAGATGAAATAATTAACAACTTCAATCTTTTCTCCATCCAACATAATATTGCTT